AGGGAGACCAGGGAGACCCCGGACCCCCAGGACCTCCTTCTTACACTAATGACAACGGCAATTCTGTTCAAGGTAATATACAAATGTATACATTTACTTTTGACCTGTTAGGCTAATCTGTGACCGTGACATGACTTCCAATATGTGACAGCTTCCTGTGTTAACCATCTTTTGTGTGGTTGGCTGCAGGCCCACCAGGGGAACCAGGTCTTGATGGCCTGCCCGGTGCCCGTGGTGACCAGGGAGCTCCAGGGTTCCCGGGAGCACAAGGCCCACCTGGATTACCATCTGGCAAGTTGCTGTCATCAATTACTCATTACATATTACTCAAAGAAAAATGAAATTGCTTTCTTAATTACTCAGCAGTAACAGTCGTGTTACATTACTCAGTACTTTACCTTTGTTAGTCAGCTATTTAAAGGTGACAACTCCACACCCTGCCCACACATCTTCTTTTGTATTTAACAAATATAACTCTGTGGATGTCCTCACAAGGGGTTAGACACCTCCACCTCTAAAAAAGAGGTGACTTCCGAACATGCCGTCTTACACCTACCACATTAACCGGCCAAGAACACCAACAAAATTTAAAATTACAGCGCATCACTAGGATTACTATCTTTAATGGAATTAGTCATTTTAAATTGTAGGCCCTTACACTACTAGTTGCAGAGAAGACCTATTGCAGTACTGTAATGTGTTACTGTTCAACACTGAGGACTGGTGGTTTTGGTACAAGTATTGTCAAAGACACACACACACTGAATGGAGATTAAGCTTTCATAATTGATTAATCATGTATGTCTAAATTTATACTTTTTTATCAAATTGGGGACCCACAAATAATGCAATAATCATACTGTACAACTCCCTCTACACAGGGATACGGTTGATTTATTTTTCTATTTAAACTAGTTCACCTCTTTGTCCAAAAGTATATGAAGGCCGTCCAGGTCCCCAGGGTTTTCCTGGGGGCCCAGGCCCAAAGGGGGAGAAAGGCAGGCCGGGCATACAAGGCTATGGCACTGCAGGAATCCCAGGCTTCCGTGGACTCCCCGGACCTCCTGGCCCTGCTGGACCTCGTGGACCTCCGGGTCGTGGTATGTTCACACAGAACTGACTCACAGAATCCCTCTGGCCCTTCACACGTGCTCATCATAAGGATTATTTGAGACTGAAGCAGACAAAAGACATATAATAACAAACATGAACATTTTACAGTGTTGTTTTAAACATCCTTCATCCTTTAAAGGTGTTTTGAATTTTAACTTGTTTAAGTTGTCTTCTATTAGCTTTTGGTAAGACACATTGATCTGCATTCCTTGTATGAAAGGAGTTAAAATAGAGTTTATTATTATTTTTATAGATACAATTGTGGAAACAATAAGCACCTTCTAGACAGGGATACAGTGTCGTTTAGGCACTGAGCTGAGTTGACATATAATAATGTACAATATGGAAATGTATTTTGTGATTTTTGCAGCCATAGGCATCAGTTTATTGGTAGTAGTATAAAAAAGGATAGAAACAAACTTCGAAACATAACAGCTGATTGACTTTACTGTCCTCTAAGGGCCGGTTGAACCCTGCTTCACCTATCCTACAGGTCAGTCAAATACAGGTATCCTAAAGGTAGCCATATTGCTATGATCACCATGGCAATATTCAGCCTACCAAAGCGACATCCAAACAACAATCACAACTTTCAGCAGGCAGTATCTAGCTGTCAAAGAGCTTTTTTCCATGCTGTACTCTCTGCAGGGTGTGGTGGTAAGTACAGTAAAGGAGAGCACAGGCTTTAACAAACTTCAGACTTGTGGTGTTTTTCCATTAGCACAGGTCAGCCTGCTTTGAGCCAAGCCGAGCAGGCACAGGTTGGAATCTGTTTCTATCTGTTCCTAGCAGAAGGGGCGAATCATGCTGACTTGAGTTCTGCTGACCCTGCTTTCACCCAGGGCCCAGCTCCACCTTCAACAGAGCCAGCTCATCAAGACGTGTGACTGGCTGAAACGTTGTGATGAAAGTCTTTACGCAATCAGCATTGACTTTTTATTTGTTATTGTATTGCAGTAAAATTAGAAAATGGAGTCTCTCACTTTTGATGAGCGGTTAAAATAATACCTACATAGTATCAAGGGCTCCATGTTGCAAGCTAGTACCTCGCACTGCCCCCATGTGGTCAAGATGCAGAAGATAGACAATGTGTTTTATGGTGCAGTGGAAACACAATCGCACTGACTCAGCACGGAGCAGCTCAGCACGACCCCGCTACGCACGCCTCGGCTCGGCAAGGCTGACCCGTGCTGATGGAAAAGCACCAATGGGAGGGTCTGTCTTTTCAAGCTGCTTTGCTCACCTTTGGCCACAGGGTGTCGCCAGCTACGAAACAAAATCCACTGATTTTGCATTGACTTTAAGGCTTGGCAGCAGTGTTTGCAACAGGTAGTTTTTGTTTTGTTTTGTTGGCACAAACACATGAAACAAACAAAGAGACACAAACTGTAAAAAAAAAAAAAAAAAATAGTAACAACAGTCTTTCAGTTTTTGGGATCATATGTGAACTCTGTCATATAATTTAACATGTTTTACACTATGAGCCTGCATGAAGCAAACTGAAACAAAATAACTTTGTACATGTGGTAGACTTCTTTGATCATGACAATCTGAGCTCAGAGTTTTGCTTACTAATCACTCATCATACTTGTACCAAGACATGGTTTATTGTCCCCTTTTTGTTAATGACGATTTGTTTTCAAGTCACCCAAAGTTCACAACATGAGAGAGTTACAGCTGCATGTAAAAGTTCAGATTTCAATGGGTCTTTGTCCTTTTTTTCACCATAACAGTCTCATATGGACATCCATGTAGTTGATGTGCCTGTTCTAGGGATTAAAAAAACCAAAATGGATGTGCTTGATGAGAAGTTTGTTTTCTTAGTTTGTGTAGGTGCCAAACTGCAACACGCTATGCATGCTGCTTGTGGCAGGTACAGTAGCTCTTAGCCATTATAGTCGATGTAAAATCACAGAATTCATGCTAAATACAGTGCTGTTTCAAATTTTACCATGATATTAACAATTTAGTGCTTTTTTTTTTTAAATAAGCATCTGTCAACTTGCAACTGCAGCTCAAATCTTTGTTAAATCTGATGACCAAACACATCAAACTAACCCTGATTAAACACTATGACACCCAGCTGTTTATGCACTGTGCTAGTTTGGAATCATTCCTGTTTATATGATTAAATATGTAGGTGAAATGATGGGAGAGAATAAGTTAGACCAAAACAGGAACATTGCAGGTATACTGTATGTCGAGTCATGCCTTACATCAGTCGGTGCAGTTCAGCTTAAGATCAAACTGTCACAAATCTAAAAATCACGGAGTCTGTATATTGTTTGAGGCCCATTTGGCTAGTTTACTATTGTGTGTGTGTGTGTGTGTATGTGTGTGCATGCACACTTGCAGATACGCCTGCTAATGGAGGGCCTGGGCCTCCTGGGCCTCCTGGGCCTCCTGGTCCTGTAGGACCGCCAGGTGAAAGAGGATGCAAAGGTACTACACACCCACTCACTAGAATCCAAATAGTGTTTTCTGGGAGCACCTTGATAGTTATTTTGTCCTGCAGAACTGATGGCCCCTCTTCTGTGCAGTAATACTACTATTCTTTGTCATAAAACACAGCTAATATTTTTATTATCTACTTGTTATTTTCACGGATAACTTGTCTAAAATGATTTTGGTTGCGGTGTTGTAGTCATGTCGACATGTCCTACATGTTTTTAACAGAGAATTTTGGATGTTCCTTTTTGCATAAATACTTAAGATTTTGTCTTGAGGACACATTCTATGATTATCTCTATGAATAGCTTTACTTCATTATCACCATCCACTGCTTCTTTCCTCATCCCTCCTCCCTTTTCTCTTGTTCCATTCTTTTGCTTGTCTTCCTCCTGTTTTTCCTTTCCTCTTGTCCTTCTGTGTTTTCCTGTTTCCTCTGTTCTCCAGGTGATCCTGGAGATTGTGCCTGCCTAGGAGGCATCGGGTTGCCTGGGTTACCTGGACCACCTGGAGACAACGGCACCCCCGGCTTCCCTGGGCGAAGGGGTGAGCCTGGTGACCTCGGTTCACCCGGCTTTAATGGTATACAGGGACCTCCTGTAAGTAAAATCTTCACTCTACTGATTAGATGGAGTAGTTTGTTGTTGCTGACCACTTTCATCATAGCTTTGGTTGTTTTATCTGACAGATATTTTATGTCCAGAATTATACTTTAGTCGACACAATATGTCTAAGGACTTTCTGAAGTGGGCAGCACGGTGGCACAGTGGTTAGCGCCCTTGCCTCACAGCGCGAAGGTTCCGGGTTCGGGCTCCACCTGGGACCTTTCTGTGTGGAGTTTGCATGTTCTCCCCGTGCTTGCGTGGGTGCTCTCCGGGTACTCCGGCTTCCTCCCACAGTCCAAAGACATGCAACTTAGGTTGATTGGTGTCTCTAAATTGCCCATAGGAGTGCATGTGCGTGTGTCTGGTTGTTCGTCTATGTGTTAGCCCTGTGATGGTTTGGCGACCTGTCCAGGGTGTACCCCCCCTTCGCCCGATTGCCCCCCCCCCCCCCTTGTGACCCCGTTCAGGGACTAAGCGGTAGAAAATGAATGACTTTCTGAAGTAATGCAGGTTTCTGCACATTTCTGTCTCCCTACAGGGTCGACGTGGTGAAACAGGTTTCTTTGGTCGTAAGGGAGAGAAGGGGGAACCTTACTACCCCGACCTGGATTTAGGGGTGAAAGGAGAGCTTGGAGCTCCTGGACCAAGAGGACCTACTGGTGAAACTGGAAAACCTGGCAGAAGTGGATTCCCTGGGTTCCCTGGAGGCCCTGGACCCCCTGTAAGTACTTAGACTAAAGTATTCATTAATCTAAAGGTTTTCATCTGCAAGTTTAAATAAGGATTTTAAAACATTTTCCTTCCTTTCTTGTCATATCCTTTTCTTGCTGTCTATTCCATGCTTTTTTCTCTTTTCCTTTGCAGGGTGATGCTGTCTTTGGCACAGTTGGAGAGAAAGGTTTTCCAGGGTTTCAAGGGCCTCGGGGTCGTCCCGGCGGCCCTGGGGAGCCCGGTATTGGCTACATTGGTGCCCCTGGCTTACGCGGAGAGCCGGGATATCCTGGTATACCCGGGTTGCGAGGGCCACCCGGGTTGCGAGGGCCACCTGGTTCATCTGGACCAAATGGTAAGTACAGCCAAGGAAGAGTAACGGAAGCAAAAGAAATAAAAGGAAGTGGTCGGTGTTAGTTTGCTTGATGGTGTGTGTGACTCTGAGAAAAGTGTGGGAAAGAAAACGTGTGCATGAATGTCATGCCAGCGTCTCCCCACAGGGTGAAATCCTGACCTTACATCCAGCTGATCCCATCATCATCCCTCCTCCATGTTGTTATCATAGCAAACTCATCCTAGAACCCTAAACCAATAGAAGACATTTTAGGGGACAAACAGGTCCTGGTTCATCTGCCTTTCTGAAGCAGCCAAGATTTCCAGGGCCTGAAGGGGCAACATGGCTCCGGTTTTCTCTGTCAAAGCAGCTTCCTGCCCTTCATGCCTCGGCTGAATCAGCGTAATGTTAACCACATGATTAATGGTCTCCATTAATGTGCTTATACACTTCTTCTGCAACCAATACTCTGTAATTCATAAACTGCTTAGTGGACTGATTAATGCACAATGATGAGATTTTAATGCTGATTGCACAGCAACCAATGTGCTTCTTTAGTCCCAGAGATGTTGAGAAGATATTATTTGGAAACATCAGTCAGTATGAATGATACACAAGGCAGTGAATTTCTTCCCATTTGTCCTTCTGGTGTCCACATTTTAAAATATTAGTTTGATTAAGGGGTCTTTTTCTGCTTTTCATTGTTCTTGTTCAAGTCTTGTTCTAGACCTTGATAACTCCCCCAGCAAAGTGTTGTTTAGAACATTTGAACCCAGACTTTTTGGCTTATGATCCATTAAAATAAGTAACGTCTGCTGTGACGCCTTGTCACAGGTGGAACATAGCTGTGGACAAACAAAGAGTGATTTAAAATTTTTTTTGTATTCTTGCTTTATTTGGAAACATCAGTCAGTATGAATGATACACAAGGCAGTGAATTTCTTCCCATTTGTCCTTCTGGTGTCCACATTTTAAAATATTAGTTTGATTAAGGGGTCTTTTTCTGCTTTTCATTGTTCTTGTTCAAGTCTTGTTCTAGACCTTGATAACTCCCCCAGCAAAGTGTTGTTTAGAACATTTGAACCCAGACTTTTTGGCTTATGATCCATTAAAATAAGTAACGTCTGCTGTGACGCCTTGTCACAGGTGGAACATAGCTGTGGACAAACAAAGAGTGATTTAACATTTTTTTTGTATTCTTGCTTCCCTGTTTTCTATGGGTTTTTCTATGGGATTTTTTTTTTATTTGAAAATTTTCTAGAAGCCCAATGATATGAAAGTATTCGGATTTTCACAAGAAAAAAAGCAAAAAATGTGTCTAATTTCACCTATTTTACTTTTTAGAAACAAAGGAATTTAGCATTTTGTTGTTTTTAGTGGAAAAGGCAAGTGACTTTTGGTTATTCCCCACAAATCTCATACAGAGACTATAACCAACAAGTAAACATGCATTCACCATAAAGTCTGTGAAAATGCTCAGGCTGGACTTGTCAGTCACTAAGTAAAGGCCTGATCGGGTCTCTATTACTTGGCACCAGTCATATCCTTCAAATTCACGTTTTTGTGCATCGTTATTATCTGGAACAACAGTGAATACACAGTTAAGTTTGACTTTAAAATGTTCATAAATAGAACAAGAGAAAACACCCCCATCAAATAATATATGTACACCAGCAATTTCCTGAAGCCATTGTTCAGTTCTTAGTCTCTGGGACTAAATGACACAGAGTCTTCAGCAACAGCTGGCCACTCATCTACAGTATGAATGTGTGCTCTCTTACCATGATGCTAGTGCTAAACAACCAATTCATTTTGATTTTAATATGAAAGTTATTGTCACTCGCTGGAGCTGAGAGAGAACGAGCAATGAACAACAGTTTTGTTACATTTCACAAGCTTTTAGCTGACCTCTCTCTTTCTCTCTCCTCCTGTTGAGAGGAAATAACCTGTTTTTAAGCCTTTTTAAATTAAAGCCAACAAACATGCTTTTGCCTTAACTAAATGAGCATTGATTTTAATTTAATGGAACTTGATTGCTCAAATCTGTTTGATAAGAAACTACTTATTTGCTTTTTATGGCGCATGCAAATGACCCTGACTGGCTTTGTATGCTGCCATCTTCTACCCTTCCCTCTGTCTCTCTCTCACCCTCTGTCTCTCTCTCTCTCTCTCTCTCTCTCTCTCTCTCCTTCCATCCATTCCTCCATCTGTCTGACCTTCCTTATGCATGTGTATCTGTCCAGGTGAAAACAGCTGTGGAGGGGTTAATGACGTCGGAGAGGGAACGGGTGGGTAACTAACTTTTTCATCCACCAGCCAGAGTGATGATCCCTCGAGTAAAGCTGAACACTTACAGAAGCGATGGAGCAGGAAATTTTACCAAGTAGAAGAAAGATTTACTCATGTTCACATTCTGGCCAGAGCTAAACTGCCAAACAAAGACGGACGTTAGAAATGAAGTGTATTTTTGCTTCAGTAATGATATTTGTAACATTAATGAATGGAGAGAAGTGTAGAAACCTATTAAAGAACAATAGCCAGGGCCATAGCATGTATTTTAGAGAAGCTGAGGTCATGAGTCCATAACCTCCTAACACATTGCCCCAGCCATAAAACAAACAAAAAAATCCCCAAAAACATGTATTTATATTCTATTTTTGTTGATTAATTTAGTTTATATAAATTTCATATATTCAGTTATCTATTCAGTTGTGTTTTTTATAAATTATTGTTTCCCAATATCAAGTACAATTCTAGTGGATAAATATGGTATTGATTGATTTATTTTGTTGGCCTAGTAACTAGAATGTAACCCATCCCAAGTCACAAAACCCCTAAATACCCACCCAGGACCTCAGTGTGGCCCTGAAGACCACTGACTTAAGAATAAAAACATTTCAAATACTTCATTTCTGAGGTGTTTTTTCTACTAAATTAACCATTGGAAGACACCCGTTGTGAGTTGGAATCAGCCTCCCATCATTCATAGAAATAAATTTGCAGAGAAAAGTTTAGAAATCCAATACTGAGTAATTAAAAATTCAACCAAGATCATGTTTTTAGGCCCACAAGTTTATGAAGCATCCAAGTAGCAGCCATGAAAGTCAGTGATGTAATGTTTACAGTATGTCTGTTTACATTATGGACACAAAGGGAGTGTTACACAGAAGCACATCCCTGAGGACTGAGAAAGAAAGGTCGTTGTCATTTGCAGCCAAATAGTGGATGATTTTGTGTTAATAAATTGCCCACCAAAATAAACTGATAATAAATTAGTTTTTTTCAGAAGGTCATACAGGTCAAAGGTCAGAGTGTTTATTTGTCATATGCACAGTTAGGAAACGTGTTTCCCTGTACAATGAAATTCTTACTTTGCTGTCCACATGAATGCCACATAATACAAGTGAAATATAAAGTAGATGAGCAATAACACAAATCTAAATAGGCAGTAACACAAATCTAAGGCACTTTAAAGCAGCAAGTGAAGGAAGCAAATAAAAATACAACAAGAACACAATATAATGCAGAATATGTGCTACGTGGGAGTCGTGGAGTGTAAATACTCAGCAGTGAGTGTGCAATTGTGCATGTGCAGAATGAGTATGTAAACAGTAGAGATGGAATTACATGAGGTAGATCCTGAGTCAGCTGTTTAGGAGTCTGATGGCAGAGCGAAAGAAAGAGTTTTTCAGTCTAGTGGTCCTACATGTCACGCTTCTGAACCTCTGGCCAGAGGGGTTGGTGTATAAACAGTTCGTGCTGGGGGTGGATGGGGTCCTTGAGGATGGAGCTTTCCTACACACCCTGCGGTGGTAAATGTTCTGCAGAGAGGGCAGTGGATTACAAGTCAATATTATTTTTCATCCTCCGGCAATATATTCTCATTAATGATCTGGGCATCTTGCTGGAAAGTGGTACAAAGGTTTTAGAGCCTAAATCTATAATACCATAGCTCACAAGGACCTCCTCAGTCTCTTCCATTCTGAAAAAAGCTGGCTCACTGTCAATCATTTGTTCACGATGCAGCTGATGGAAGCGTCTCTCTCCCTGCGCCTCAGGGATTCCATTCAGCCAGAGTCAGTCAATGATTGACAATTGAGCTGCACGTTCATCCGACCGTGTGGTATTTCAAAAGAACAACTGCTGAACATACTTTCCTCTTCCTCCCATCAAAGCTGCTGAAGCCTGGCATATGTTTTCAAGGCCTGCCTCTGCTAAGTGCTTTTAAAGAGAGGTGAAGAGAGGGAGGAGGCAAACTGACAAAAAAAAAAAAAACCCATATTGAACTGATAACCTTCTAATGTCTTAGCCAGTCCATCATCTTCTAATGAATGAACTGCCCTTTAATATGATGAATTTGCTACTAACAACATTCAGCCTACAGCACAATAATTCTCATGATTAAACTCAGATGGCATGAATGGAGGCGACAGACAATCAACATAGTGAAAGGCATTCACACAGTGCTGACCAAAACTTTTACTGTCTCATTGCAGAATATGTCATAAATCTCCTCTGTTAGTTTGAATAGAAACTATAAAAGTGTATTTTATTTTAGGATGTATTTAAGCCTAAGTACTGTAGATACTGTTACAAGTGTTCACTGTATATTGTGTTAAAGTATTATAAAGTATGATTGGTAACTTGCATATGACTGCTACCAGGCATGCTGGAACCTTGCACCACATCTGGTGACGATGGAGAGCCCGGAGTGCCCGGTTTTCCCGGACGACCAGGTAAAATTCAGTATAGGTTTTACGGTGCTTGTTCTTTTTTCTTTTCTTTTTTTGACATTTTGCACATATTAAATGTGATGTGGGGATTAATTCCAGCTGTTGTTTCATTTTACAAACTATGTAAGTGTCATTTTTTTATTTTTACTTATTTAATGTGCTGCAATTTTTGCAATTTATATTGCTGTAGTCTGCACTGGAGCAGATAATTTAGGTTTAAGGAATTTCTTAAACATTTTCTGACATTTTATTTGATTCAATTCTTTAATTACTACCTTAAAATTATGGGGCGGCTGTGGTGCGGGAGGGACAGTAGAGCTTCTACCTCCACATGTTGAAGTGTCCTTGAAAAAGAAACATAACCCCTGGTTGCTCTCTGTGATATTACCGGTGTGCGAGGGCATCTGGTTGGCAACCCGTCCCTGTAAACCTCACTGACACAGAAAGAGCGAGCATCTCTCCTTGGAGGGACCTTGTCTCCTGATGAGCTCCGTTGTACGGACGATCCTAGGACTAGGAATTACTTTTAAAAAAATCACTATAACAAAGTAAATTATACTCTTAGTTAAAGTCATACCTGTCTGCACCTGCCAGGCCCTAAAGGTCAGCCAGGTTTACCAGGAAACCTTGGACGTCAAGGGTTTGACGGTGCCAAAGGAGAGAGAGGAGACCCTGGTTTTGGAGGCCAGCCTGGACCAACAGGTAAAGTTATGTGTTGGTGTGTGTGTCTTGGTACAACCTGTTTGCCAGAGCAGAATCAGAAACCATATTTATCATAGCTGGCTTTGGTGTCTGCGAATGACTTAAGTCAGACACCTACAAGAAAACAAAGGCTTGTGGAAATGTTTCCAACTTGGAAGTGTACATTAAATTGATGTAATTAATCTTTGAATTAATTAGAGTAGGTATGTTTGAAGCATGTTTCATGATGGTATTAGTTTTCTCAGAGGACACACAAGTTATTAGTTAATTGAACTGTAGTTCTATGTGCTGTTTTATTTTCATGGCCACTTGTTATAATGGATCCAGTCAAAGCAGATGTTAACAGCCGATATCAGTCCAGCCGTAGTTGAACTTTCCTCTCAATCATGGGTACATTAAAGCTAAGCTGCAATATCCAGATGGCATTCATAACAATCACAATACTGCTGCACTGACACTTGGTGAACATCAGCCACAGACAATCACTGGTGTGTCTGACATGGAAGGTGTCAGATTTCTGGGCTCTTTAAATGCAAATGTCCAGGCACAAGGCCTCCAGTGGACATCCTGCACAGAATTCGATACACATGGTTCTTCCCAAACTGTGGTGAAGTAGCTTACAGAGTAAAATGTGGTGTGTCTTTTGCTCCAGTAGCTCTCACTGTTCATTTTTCATAAGGTTTTGCTGCTGGACATTGACTTTGTTTATCACTGTGTGCACATGGTATTTGCTGTACCTGTCAAATAAAGTGATTCTGACATCAGTCTGCACCAGCCCTCTTTAATTGCCTCCTTCTTGCAGGTTTCCCCGGACCCAGAGGAGATCCTGGACCTCCAGGTATCCCAGGACAGAGTTTTGAGGGACCCAGGGGGAAGGATGGTATTCCAGGCCGTCCTGGAGCCAAAGGCCAGCCTGGAGAGGTAGTGGGAGCCACAGCTGGACCTCCAGGACAGGATGGCTCACCAGGAATATCTGGAGACAAGGGCCAGCCCGGAATACCAGGGGGGCCTGGATCACCTGGTGGGTCTGAAAGAGAGAGACTCTTGTTTGTTGGATGTTTGGATTCAGTGAACGGCAATAGTACTGGTAGTAATAGCAGTAATAGTAGAAGTAGTACTACTAGTAGTAGCATTTATCATACTAGCAGTAGTAGCAGCAGTTATAGATGTAATATTAGAGGTAGCAATAGTAGCATGCCTAGTTTATAGTAGTTATCGTAGTTGCAACAATAGCATAATTCACTGCAGCATTAGTAGAAGCAAATGTGATGATTGTAGTAGTAACTATTATGGAGTTAATAGCAGTAGTAATAACTAGTAGTAAAGGTCAGCCCAGATCATGTACAGTAAAATAAAATGGTATATCTTATGGAGTCAATGTATAAAACAGAATACACACAAAAGTAGCCCCCACACACAGAGTGTGAAAGAAGGGCACAGTATTCAGAGTTCAGTATATACTGTATATGTTGAACTGATGATGTAAAAAAAAAGCTAACTTGTAATCTAAAATGGTAAAATAGATGCAGTACAGTAAATGTACTGTTATGTACAGTATTTCTCTCTGAAATGTAATGAATTAAAATTATAATGAAGTGTGTAATTGGAATACTCATGTACTTGAGTAAATGTACTTAGTTTCCGACACTGAGGAGTAGTAGCTATTACTGCTAGTTGTAGTAGTAGGGGTAGCAGTAGCAATATAGCATGAGTAGAAACAGCAGCATTGAAGTCTATGAACACATATTTCTTCTTCTTCTTTGGTCAGGGTTTGACGGGCGTTCTGGTATTCCTGGACTGAGGGGGGAGAGTGGAGTAGATGGTCTTCCTGGTATTCCTGGCCCTCCTGGACCTCCAGGTGTGGTGATCAATGGCATTCGTGGTAGACCTGGAGCTCCTGGCGAGATGGGACCAAGAGGACACCCAGGTGAGGGAAAAGATTCAGTAAGCTTGTCCATGGCTAACCAGACTTCAATCTAAGTTTGTTGGATTTTAGGAACTTTAGATACCATGTTTCATATTTCAGATATCATGTGTATTTCTAGGTATTTATTCAAAGCTTTACTCATAATAGAAGAAAAAAAAATATTATTTAGTTAAATCTTGCCTGATGTTTTTCTCTACTCACTTTCAACAGTATTGGTTCATCCCTCTCTTTTTTTTTTTTTTACTGTTATTCTTCTTCTCTTGTTTTGTATTTTTCCTTGTCCTGTTTTCCTCATTCTTATACCAACACCATCATCTCTATGCATCCACTCATCCCTCCATCTTTTCCTTCTTGATGTCGGGTCATTCAATCTAGGCTGCCAAGGTGAGACACTCATTGCTCCATCTGTCATCCATCCTCCCGCTCCATCCTTTGCTTCCGTTCCTCCATCCTGCTATTCACGCATTTAGACCAAACGCTTTATGTGCTACCTCAGCAAACAAATGTCCATCTGCGTAATTTAGTTAGCATCGTTAGCCAGCGTGTTGGGTGTGGGAATGCTTCATTTGAAACAAGTGAAGAAAATCCATTGCATTACACATCAGACTGTGGTAAATAGAGAAACTGTGAAACACAGATGCTTGGTTTGCTTGCACAAATGTAGACAAATAGTATCCAAACAGATAAGACCACTTTGGAGTCATTTGTGGCAAATATGCTTGACATTTCAATAATGGTTAGAAAATAAATTTGCATGCACAAGGAAACTAAAATAGTTTTATTCATGCCCTGATCACATGGGGTGCCAACCTCACCCTGAGTAATTCATGAAAAATGTGCAGTGGACAGAATATGCTGTGCAAATGTGTTACTTAGCTTGGCTTGTGTCAGTTACTTTAACTTGTGTGTTCACTTTATTTAACTCTTTTCTGGTAAGTATGTTGTATTTATACAACCTTTGCCTGAAACGTTAAGTAAAAGACTTTCTTTTATGAAATGTAGTTAGGTCTATCTTGTCGCTGTAGGCAGCTTCTCCTGAGTTAATTGACCAGGAAACGCTGAAATTTACCAAGGTGTTGACATAATTTATTTTATTTTTAATGCAAATATAGTTAATATTTCAGAATTTACAAATTACCGTATGAGTTTTCTTCCTTAAAAAGGATCTAAACGGCTTCTGAAAATCTTGTTTTTGCTGTTCTCCAGTGGTTTAACTGCTTTCTTTGCTCCAGTGATGTAGAAAAGATCCGCTGAGAGTATGACGCTGAATTTTGGTCGCAAGAAATCAAATCACAGCTGCAGTATTTCATATGTAATTCAGGATTTGTTTCATAAAAGCTCTTAAAATGCATAAAACTATGGCACTGATGTAAATGACTCACTCAGTTGTTGGTTTAAGATGGACATTTTAGTTGTGACACATTCAGAAAGTCTTCTTAGGAAATGTGCCTACTGATATTTGTTTTTGTTTCTCAGCCAAAAATAATTCTCAGGGTTCAATTATATATTCTCATCTACTCTGTGCCAGATGTGTTAACTGTATTAATTTCAGTAGTTTTGTGTGACAACCAAAGGAACTGTTTATTTTCAGTACATCCCTGCATTGTCCTACATTGCTGGCCAAACTACAGCATGGATGTGTTGGAAATGGGTTCTCTTTTTAACACCGTAGAGTAGAAGTGCTTAGTGTGCTGTTCTGCAGAGCAACAAATCTATAGGTGGTTGAACCTTGCTAATTCTGTCTGGAATTGCACTTGAGTTTCTTATATTGTTTAATGAAAGTATTGCATAATTGCCATTATTTATCAAATGAGCTGCATGCCTGTATCTCTTCGGTAACATCCCTAAATTTAAGTGCAATTGCAGCCTAATCAAGGCAAAGGAATAATGTGATGGTACATTGTTGTCTGATTTTTGCCAAATTGTGTGTGCTTCTGTGTGTATTCAGAATCAAAATAACTGATAAGTTGCTTTTGTTAAAAATTTGTTAACAAGCTTATCTATTGTGGCAGAGGTAAGTTCATTAAGTTTATATTTCTTACTCAGTATTTGTTGCCCATTTCATTTTATATGTTGCGCATTCAAATAACCAAAATGTATATTTATATTATATTTTTTTATTAAAGCTGTTATGAGCAGGGTTTGACTAAATCTGTATCTCTTTCTTTTGTCTTTCATCATCTGTCCCATCACCATCCATCCATCAGCAGGTCCCCCAGGGCGAAAGGGAGACAGAGGAGACTCAGGTTTCCCAGGGCCTGCTGGGATGAAGGGAACCCCAGGACTGCCCGGCTTCCCTGGTGAACCAGGGCTGAGGGGACCCCCCGGGCCTGCAGGACTAGGAGCTAGAGAGGGCTACCCGGGAGCACCAGGAAAAAAGGGTAGGCGGCGCCCTGTTTGTTATTGGTTTTTAACTTCTTTAGACAATGTTTTCCCCTAGTGGCAACAGTACTCTCATTTGGATTCTTTCCACAGGTGAGAGAGGTTTACCAGGAATAACAGGTTTCCAAGGACCACCAGGGCGTGGTGGTAGTCCGGGATTTCCAGGAAGGAAAGGGCTGCCTGGGGGGCCTGGAGGAGATGGAAGCCCTGGCAGACCTGGATCCTCTGGCAAGAAAGGTACAGTCCCCAGGCCCTCAGAATTGCTCCTGCCTGCTGAAGGCCCTTCAGCTGCCAGCCAGTATCAGGATACACATAGGCCAATACCAGCCAAGCAGAGAGATCTACAGGCAGGATTTTAGGGAGTTACATAAACGTCCATGTGTTTCTACTTCTGTAGGTGATAGAGGATACCCTGGTCCTCCTGGTCCACCTTCTCCTTTTATACCAGAGGAGAAAGGAGACCCCGGAAATCCTGGAAGCATTGGCGTTACTGGCTTCACTGGACCTAGAGGTAAACCCACTGCCTCACAAGAAGAGTTTTATCACTGATCAATTTTATTGAGAACCAGTGGGTCAAGAAATACTGTGACCTATGGCCGTCTTTTAAGTAAAAGCGGCAAGACCACAGTAAGAAAATATTCTGTTGTGAATAAAAGTTTTACTTAAGTAGAAGTAAATAGATATTGCACTATCTGGAGTGCTTATTTGTGTTTATTTAATGTCATGCATTAATTTACAAGCAGCACATTTAGTGTTGTCAAGGCAGTCCGCAGAATGTTTAACAGCTTTATAGGCTGTTGGGAAGTTTACTCTATAATTATTGTGCATATTTTATAAACTCCTATGTTTCACGTGTAAATTCTTCCTCTGAAAAATGAACTATTAACTATATCTCCCAGATAAATGTAGTGGTTTCTAAGTATAAAGTAACATTAGAGTCATCAAATAAAATAAAAGTAGTTAAAGTCCTAATTAGCATGTTGTCATTTTTAAGTTAATTAGTTACTTTCCGCTACTGCTGTGAACTGTCAGCTGTCTGTCAAGTGCGTTGTTTCGCTCCCTGCTGCACCTGTAAACACCATTGTATGACTGATTTCAGGTGACAAGGGTCTGCCAGGTCTGCCCGGTGGTCAGGGTCTACCTGGACTTCCTGGTTTCGCTGGGCAGAGTAAAGGCCAGCCAGGACAGCCTGGATTCCCTGGGCAACCAGGAAGCCAAGGCTTCCCCGGACCAAAGGGAGAAGCTGGAATCAGGGGATTCCCCGGCATGGCTGGGGCAAGGGTAAGAAATCACACACACACTTGCAAGCACTACCATTCATCAAGTTCAAGATGCGGAAGTGAAGTTGGAATGCTTTGCTTCAGGGTGACGATGGTGCACCTGGTTTCCCTGGCAACCCTGGAGAATCTGGCTTACCTGGTACCAAAGGTAAATATCAAGCCTGCTTATGAATTATATTAAACATCCATTCATTCACTCACATTCACACATGTTTTGTTCCTTAGGGCAACTCGGAGAAACTTTTGCTTATCCTGGACTTCCAGGAGCCAAAGGTCAGCCAGGATGTCCAGGCGTCCAAGGTAAGACTCACCTTGCTTGGCTATGGTGAAACTAACCATTAACGTAGTTGTTTCCTCTTGAATGACCATCAGAGGCTTCTTCTAGCTGATTTTAACTTTAGAAAAGATTGTGAAAACCCACCAGAATCCACTGCTGATATACTCACATTTTTTAAGAAACAAAAATCATGAAAAGACGCCCAGAAGCATGTCAGTTTTAATCTTTATGCTGATATAAAACAGGCGATATGAACATTAATTCTGCCTTCTTCAGGTGGTCCTGGCAACAATGGTGCCCCTGGTGACAATGGCTTTCAAGGAAGTCCAGGTTTCTCTGGATTGAAGGGAGCTCCTGGTGAAATAGGACGGCCAGGAATAATGGGTGAGAGGCCACTCCAAAGACAAAAACTCGCATGCTCAAATCAAAATACAGTATTACCATATTTACCTCATCCCACGTGCAGGCTCCCCTGGTTTTCCTGGGCCAAAGGGCCAGTCTGGCTTTCCTGGAATAAGAGGAAAGGATGGGTTTCCTGGTCAACCTGGAGGTCCTGGAGGTCCTGGAATGAAAGGTGACAGAAAAAATGCTAATGTATTTTCATATTTGTGTATGTTTCCAGTTGATACAAGGTAACACAACAGAGCAGAAAGTGATCAGAGGCTGCAGACTTACAAAGTCTCTCTCTGTCATGCTTTCACAGGTTTGCCTGGATCCCCTGGTTTACATGGACTTAATGGACTTGCTGGAGCGAAAGGCCTTCCTGGAACCCCAGGCAGGGACCTCATTACACACGCCAGAGTTTGGCAGTGCATGTTAATATTTTAACATGAAACACTTTACTGTGAAATCAATCCTTTATGTACTGGAGTCACTAATGTTGAAGATTAGCATGTTCATATTTATGTCCAGGTGCAAGTGTCAGAGGTCGCCCTGGTGATCCTGGTATTCAAGGTTTGAAAGGAGAGAGAGGCGTCTCCTACCCAGGAGAACTAGGTCTCCCCGGACAGAAGGGACCGAGGGGAGAACCAGGTGAGATCAGCTTCAGGGAAATTAAAAATGCTTATTGAATATAAATGAAATAATATCATATCAAAATAATGCCTACTCATTTGTTTTTGCCTCTGTATCAGGTGGTCCAGGACTTCCGGGGTTCCCTGGTCGGTCCGGACTTCCTGGAAAACCAGGGCGGACGGATAGTCCTGGACCTATGGGAGACCCTGGCTTCCCTGGACTGGATGGAGAGTATGGTAAATAAGTATGTTCTTTCCCCTGTCCTGATTTCTTTTCCTCTCCTGATTTCCTTCTTGTTTTCTTTACTTTCCATCTTTTCTTTTCTCTCAAGGAAGATTTCTTTTCTTTCCTTTCCCTAACCCAATTTCCTTTTCCATTTCCTTTCTTATCTCCTTCCCTTTTATACCCTTTCTTTTCTGTCCTCTACTCTCCTTCTTCTAATGTTTATCTCCTCTCTTGCCCAGGTTTCCGAGGCCCTCCAGGTCCTCCGGGACCACCTGGCCCAGGTACACTCCAAGGAGACAGGGGTGACTCTGGGCTCCCTGGCTTCCCCGGCTCTCCTGGCAAGAAAGGAGATTCAGGAGTCCCTGGAGGTCCTGGACTCCCTGGCAGCCCTGGTTTTAAAGGTGAAATGAAGCTAAAAATATGACATGAACCAAAAATACACCCTGTTCTTTTGTTTCTCAAAACAATAATAATAATAAAGTTAAACTTTGTCTCTTCAGGAGAACAAGGTGAGCCTGGTTTCAGTGGAGGTCCTGGTCTCAAGGGTTTCTCCGGTGACACTGGTTACTATGGAAACAAAGGAGTAAAAGGAAGTCAAGGTAGGAGGGCTTTAGTCTTTCCACAAGGATTGGGATGGTACAGGAAACTAATGTAGTCTACTCCTATCTGAATTTAGTTATTATACCTGAATGTTTTTCTCACTTACTTGTCCTTCATTTTCACCTACCTTTCTCCCTTTTTTCTGCTACACATTTATCGTGTATTTTCGCTCCACCCTTCACCCTTTTCTTTCTCTTTCTCTTCCCCTTCACTTCAGGCAAAATTGGACCTAAGGGTCCACCTGGAGAACCACCACCACCAGCACCCCCTAAAATTATTGGGGACCAGGGTTTCCCTGGTGAAAGTGGCGCCCGTGGTGGCATTGGAGACTTTGGTCAGCCTGGACTGCCTGGACGTCCAGGTGAGTAGTTAACATCCAATTTTTTAAATAATCCCCGCCAGGCTGAAACATTGTTAACACTTGTTGTACCCCTTTTTCGCCATCAATTTCTAGGTGTGGACATTTAATAACACCAAAAATGTGTTATTTTCTCTTAAGTTTATATTTAAATCTTATCACACTTGCTCCTCGGAAGCTGTTCTTTTTTTTTTTTTTTTTTTTATTTTTCAGCAACCTAAATGCTAACCTCCCTATTTAGCATTTATAAGCAGTATGAAAAATTTAATAAAGGGTTTATAACACACTATAATGTAGTTGTAATCAAACATTGGGACATATTTAGATGTTTATTATTCATAAAAACTTCTTCAATGGAGGCATATTTTATATTACTATATTGTCATTCATTATCTGTAAATATACACCAACCGGTATGTTCATAAACACTTGATATCTGCTTGCAACTACACTGTTTATTCAGTGCTTACAGTAGGCTATTTACTGCTTCCTAGTCCTAATGTAAAGTGTTTATGACATTTTTATTGGTATTTAATAGAAAAGTTAAACATAAGAATGAGCTTATGTACTTTCTTATTGAGAGTTAGATGAGAAGCTTGATAATAGTCAAATTTCTTGCCATTGAATATGAAGCTAGAGTCAGAAGATGATTAGCTTAACTTAGCATAAAGACTGGAGACAGAGAGAAAAAGCTAGCCTGTCTGTGTCCAAAGGTTAAAAAAGCATGGGAAGACTCTAGGAAGTCCAAGAAATTGAGAAATGAGATGTACTATAATGTGTTCATTACTGAGCTTCAGAGGCGGATTTATATCACATACACCTTGGTGCATAGGTACAGTCATGTGCTCTGCAGTGCAAGGTAAAAGAAACATAGTAAAGGAAAATATGAAAATGGCTTTCTGTACCTCCAGTCACATCTGTGTAATATACTCACCTGCTACAGGTCCCAAAGGTAGTCTTGGTTCTGTGGGTAAACTGGGCAGGACTGGACCTACTGGTCCACCTGGACTCGTCGGTGACCCTGGACTCCCTGGTTTCCCTGGCTTGACTGGAGAACAAGGTGAGTAGTCTATATGTTTGTGTGTGCCCTTACGCTGTGTCCATCAAAATGAAACTTATTTCCAATTTTTTTTGTCTCAGATCCTGAAAAAAAATATGGTATGATATAATAAAGGTATAAAATATAATAAAACATATTTAAATGAAGTCATAGCCTCATATAGTATTACATATTCACTAAATGTCAAGAAATAAGGCTTATATTTTCATTTAATATTATAGTAATGCCAGTGACCATTGGAAGAAGGAATGTGATTGCTCACCATAACAAAACCGCAGCAATAGATGTACTGAATATACTTTAAAAACATTCTGTAACCTACAAATCTCCCCAAGCCAATTCCTGGACTATTATATTAACATAAACAAAACATTCCAACCCCCACTAAAAGCAGCCTTCAACCTTTCTCTAAATTCTAACAAAATGTCTTTTTCTTATTCTTCCTCAGGTTCCCCTGGTGCAGTTGGTCCCCGCGGCCTTCCTGGCACTGTTGGCCGCAGTTACAGCATCGGCTACACTCTGGTGAAGCACAGCCAGAGCTGCCAGGTTCCCATGTGTCCTCAGGGCATGGCCAAACTGTGGGACGGGTACAGTCTGCTGTACGTTGAGGGACAGGAGAAGGCACACAACCAGGACCTCGGTATGGCACTACCTTTCTATTGATAATATATGGCAGTGGTATGAAGTTGTTTACCTTTACCATCTTTGACCAGCAGGACCTTCACTCCAATCTACTGTAATATTGGAGTCAGAAGCAAAATACTACTGGAATCTAAATACTAGGGTTTTTGTCATTGGCTTTTTGAGCTTACAAATGAATCCCAGAAATTCTCTCTAAACATTGTTTAGATTAAATAATGTGATGTGAACAGAGTGTATGGCATAACATCCCATGTGATTTGGGGGTTATTTGGAGTCTCATTTATTCTTATGTTACCTATACTCCTATCCAAAAACTCAAGGTAACGCTTTGATATGTTAATCATATTAAAGGTGTCTTTGTCTCTCCAGGTCAGCCAGGCTCATGTCTGCCTAGGTTTAGCACCATCCCCTTCCTCTACTGCTCCCCTAATGAGATCTGCTACTACGCCAGTCGAAATGACAAATCCTACTGGCTCTCCACAACCGAACCCATACCCATGATGCCCGTGACCGATGAGGAGATACGGTCTTATATAAGCAGGTGCTGTACACTGTGTTGGCTTATTAAACTGCAATCTGGCATTCACTTATACATCTTCAGTTCACTTATCTGTGACTCCGAACACTAAATATGAAATGATGAATGTGTGATTTTTCCCCTTATTTGTGACACAACACTCAAAAGTGTGCACCTCCTATCCAACCCAGGTGTTCAGTATGTGAGGCTCCATCTCAGGCTGTGGCCGTCCACAGTCAGGACACGAGCATGCCGGACTGCCCATCCGGCTGGAGGAGTCTCTGGATAGGTTACTCCTTCCTTATGGTACGTCATAACCTGCTGATCTGAATACCACTTCCTACTGCTGTTATATTTAAATTGATCATTTGTCCTATATCAGATTCCTAGAGTGCAAAGTGACAGCTTTGAATTGGTTGTTCTGTTCAACCAGCTGTCCAAAACTCTGAAGACGTTCAGCTAACATTAATACAAAACAGAGAACAGCAGCAAGTCATGACATCTGATAGGCTGGAGCAAGATCAGATGTGGCATTTTGGCCTTGTATCAAAACTATTATCAACCTTGTGATGATATGATATAGGTGATGATGTCAGTGTTGTGTTCACAGTCCACATGCCCAAATAATCAATTATTGCAGATTTAACTACACTGAAATGCAGGTATGAAAAAGCTGTTAAATATGCAGTTGTCTTACCTTATTCTGCGTAATAAGGAGTGGTGAAAACAGCTTATGGCTGTAACACAACACACTTTCTGACATGTCAGTTTTCTAGGAGCTCAGCAGTAAGAAATAATGACAGTCAAGGTTGAGTTCACTGTAAACTGAGATCAAAGAAATGCTGACACATTTCAGGTATCAACAGTTGTATAAGCAAACCTGAGCCATCCAGGGGAATTATAATCAGGTTGTCTACTGAAACAGAATTAGGGCTTTTTTGGTAAGGCAAGCTAGCTGTCTGAAATCTGTTCTCCTCTCCACCACAGCACACGGCGGCCGGCGCTGAGGGCGGCGGACAGTCCCTGGTGTCCCCCGGCTCCTGCCTGGAGGATTTCCGTGCGACACCATTCATCGAGTGCAACGGGGCCAAGGGTACCTGCCACTACTTTGCCAATAAGTACAGCTTCTGGCTGACCACTGTGGATCCCAGGCATGAGTTTTCACCAGTGATGCAGACCCTGAAGGGAGTCGATAAGCGCTCCAAAGTCAGCCGCTGCCAAGTGTGCAGCAAGGTCTTGTAGTACGAGATGAAGGGTGGAGGGGGGAAACATCAGGAGGCGATACACTAAGGAAGGACAGAGAAGTGTTGACAGAAAATGAGGTGATTTATAATGAAATTCATAAAAAAAGAACACACGGCTGACTGAAAACGAGCCCTCTTCTGCTTCACGGATGGTTTCAGAATTGAGTCGAACAACATCGGCCTCGTTTTCAGAGTTAAAAATCTCCTTTAGGAATGAATGGCCTAATTAAAAGAAGATTCAGAGGGAGGAAATTGAAAGAGAAGGGTTCCAGTGTGATTTCCCTTCTCTAGATTATCACTGACAGTGGTGCTATTGTTTATGTTCTTTGTCTTTATTTTGTGTGTTTTCTTGTTACAGTTTTGGCACGAATCATTCTCGGCTACGTCGAGCAGTGCCACCCCTCCGTGTAGCACTGCACCGCTTACACATCTGGGCGGCCTTTCAGATAAACATTAGTTGAATCCCAGATCTGAACAGTGTTGTTTTTACATTCTGACCTGATCTAACTGAAGCAGATGGTCACCTCTCCTAGTCCTGGTTCAAACACATAGATATATAAAATAGTGAAGCGGTTGCCATAAAACTTGTCTTCTGTTGTGTTGCCCTACAATCACTGTAACTACAGTTATTCCACAGATTATGTTTAATGTACAAAATGCAGTCAAGAGGAAAAAAAATGAAAAAGAGTTCAACCCATTTTAACTGAATTTAACTTAACAAGAATTACCGCTTCACAGCTGTCAAATTCACAGGTATGGGACAGAAGTGAGGTCACTGACCTTTGACCTTTGATCACCATAATCTAATCAGTTCATCCTTGAGTCCAAGTGGACGTTTGTGCCAAATTTTAAGAAACTCTTTCAAGTTGTTCCTGACATACTGTACGGACAGCCAACCTGAAAACCTGATGCCTCTCTGTCTGTGGCTTTTGCCGGCACACTGGCATAAAAATACATAAAGAATAGAAACTGAGAATGTCAAAGACAATAAATACAATACTATTAAGCCACGTAAATTACTGCACATCTTATCTAAAGGAAGTAGTTAATATTGTACTCAATACTCATTGAGGCAACTTTTTAAAGACAAAATCAAATTTTCCAATATCCAATCTCATTATTTGTCTTCTCAGTTAATTTCCATGAAAACATAATGTATCGGCTGGCAACATTTTCAGGTGCAAGTTACAATTCTCTAGGATTTTATTCTAGTAGCCTACAGAAAGGATTGTTAACTGATTGCTGTCTGGAATTAATTAAATCTGTCACTTAAAGTATGATGTGCATATTTGCCCTTGGAAATAGTATTTTGATAAAATAGTCTTAACTCAAGGTTGTGTTCCAGAGCCGTGATAGGTTTTCTCAGGAAACGCCATCAAAAGACGAAACCTAACTTTTGAAAATGTTCTATATGATCCATGCATGATTTGGTTTTTGTGCAAAACCTGCAAAACAACCAGCACCAGCTGTGCCTTTGTTGTATACAAGTGATCTTTGTACGTGTCACAGTGAGACTGTTAAAAGACAGACAACGTGACATTTTGAGAGGCAACATTTAGCAATACATTCTTATTAAGTTGTGCATGTAATAAAAAAAAGCACTTTTTCCCTCAAAGTTGCTTAAAACAAAACCTCTGCAACAGTTAACTCCAGTAATGAATGACTTGAATGAGCCACCCATTTATATATATATATTGCACTGATGTGAACTCATATGGGTTACAACAAAAAAGCGAGTCAAGTAAAGGAGCATACATCTCCACTTTCACAGGCTTTCACACAGACTTTCATTGTTTTGCTATGACCAAACCAGTGGTTTTAATTTTTTTTAAATCACATTGAATCCTTCATTCACCCAAAATTTGCAACAGGAAACAAAACACACACTCTCTGATAGGTTGTTAATTATTGCTGTACATAGTGCTTATTGTCTTTCCAGTCAAACTAGGTTAGAGCAAAGGTCTTTGTTTTATTTTGATTTTCTTTTCAATCTTTATGTTCTTTCACACAGAACATGGAAAAGGTTTCTGCCTTTAAATGTAGATTTCACAGTTATCAATATGACTGATAAATACTGATTTGCAAAAATATACAAAGACACATAAGATCAGAGTTTATCATTTATTTTACCTTAGTTTTTTTCAGTGTAAATTAAAGTTCTCAACTGAGTGGAAAAGCCTAATATGAGTCGTTTCTCCTCTTGGACAGTCCTAGCTCCTGGGTAAGGTAACCACTAGGACCACTATAGCTCTGTCTCTCCCTGTAGCCCTACTTTTATTGCTTCTGCTATGTCACATTGTACTTGTTCTTTATTTTATTGTCCCCTTTTTTGTCTACATTTGTTGATTTGTAATCTAAACTAATTATTTTTCTTTAAGTTGTGATAGAGTCCCGTGGTATTATTTGCTATAATTGGAAGGAATTGGAAGATAATGATGTGTACATTAAATATCATGGGGAAAGTGTTTAGGATGTTTGTATATGGAAAATATATTCACTACTTATGATTTAACAAGCATAAAGAGTCATTTTATTGTTTGTTTGGACTTTACCCTATGTTCAAATCCCAGTTTTATGCAGCCACATATTGTACATGCCTGAAAAGACAGAAAAGGTTTTTCCTCAAAGAGGATCTATAATAGCATGCCTGTTACAATAATGTGTATTTTTATGCTCACAAATGTTGAAATAAAATTTCAAAACCAAATAAGAAATTAGGAATTATACTTTATAAGGCTCTGGTATTGGCAATAGTTACAGGAGGTGTATTTGTGGCAAAAAATTCCACCAAGGTTAAAGACTGAAATCTTTGACTTAGGAGTTAAATTCTCATCATAATAGAGGTGTTGTCTACAAAGGATTTTTAACATGAAATGAATTTCATATCACAGAAATGTGCTGCTATTTACTAACAAGACAATAAACATTCAGAAACGAAAAATAAAAATGGGAATAAAGGAGTAGCATTATTATTATTAGAGGAAACGTTTGCATTACAACACTGTAAATTACAGGACACCGAGCTCTAGACCACTAGATGGCGACAACGCATTAAGTTGTATTCTAGCTGCCTTAGCAGAAAAAGAAGAAGCTCTAAATAACAACAACACGGCTAGTGGCGTTAGCTGGAAGGAAAGTGGGGTGTATTATTTTCTTCTGATTTGGAACATATTAACAGGTGAGTAATATAACGCACAGCCAATGTTTTAGGTGCACCTTACTGCAATTGTTAAATCGTATAACGCTAGTATTCTTTTTCAGCTGTCTATGCTACGTTAGCTTGCAAGCTAGCATTAGCTCTGCTAGCTTAGCTATCATCATTATCATCGTCAGATACTTAGCGTTTTGTTTTGGCCCAGCCAATGAAGTGGCTATATATCAAAAGTTGGATATCTCATGAAGAGGCATGTATATTTAGGAATTAATTTCGCTGGGACGGCTGTGTAAGTGGTTAATACTGTAATTAGCCGTTGCAGATATAGTTAGCTAGTTAGCTATTACACGATGCTAGCTGCATCTGTAATCTGCTTTCGTATTAAAGCATGCTTATTTAAATGAATTTCTGACGTCGTCTGGAAATAAAGGCCATTTTAGGGTGTCGATTGCATGGTTTAAGCTAACAGGTAGCGTTAATGCTTGCTATGAAAAATGTCGTGGCTAGATCCCCTCACTGTATTGTCTTATAACGTATAACACAATGAAACTAAAAATAAAAAAAATTGCTCTTCACATTCCTAAAGGCAATCAAATAAATTTAAAAAACTCTTACACATTGGAGAGGTTGTAACAACACTGTTTTGGATTTTTTTTTTTTTATTGAAAAATGAACAATTGATCACCAATATAGTTGATGTAAGTTTTTGTTTCTTTAGTTTAATCTCAGACATGTCCACTCATCAGTGTAGATCAACACAGCACATGTTGCAGTTTAAGTATTGTTGAGTTTATTTGACACTGACACGTGACTCCTGCTTTCTTCTTCTACGATGGTCAAAGCAGGTACGCTGGAATTTTCTGACACACACTCGGACATGTCCTATGTCTTCATCAACGACTCGTCGCAGACCAACGTGCCTCTGCTGCAGGCCTGCATTGATGGAGACCTGCCCTTCAGCAAGAGGCTCCTTGAGACGGGGTGCGACCCCAACATCCGGGCATTTAGTCAAACTCAGGCAGCACTTGAATGAAACCAGAAGGATTTATTGTCTGTGGTTGTAAAGCTTTGTTAATAATTGGGTCAATGAAAATCCTTGCCCTGTAATAACAGCCACTAGATGGCGAACCCTGGTAGAACCTTTTTAGGATTGTACTAGAGCTGCAGCTAGCACTTATTTTAATCATCTGTTAATCAGCTAATTATATGCTCAATAAATCCAATAAATCTATTACTTGTCTATTAAATGGGGACGCACTGGCCTGCACCTAGCCGCCGCACGAGGGAATGTGGACATATGCCGTCTCCTACACAAGTTTGGGGCTGATCTGTAAGGAAAGAAAGAAAGAAATGCCCAGCATAGTTCGTAAGAGCTCAAGGTAATGTCTGATTTTTTTCTCATCAAAGTAAAAAAGGTCCAAAATATTCAGTTTGCAGTCAAATAAATTTTAAAAAACTCTTATACATTGGAATTTTCTGACACACACTCGGACATGATCAAGAGTTTTTGATATACAGTATTTACTTTGAGATTCACATAGTTTTCTTACTGGAAGCAACAACAAAAAAACAATCACAGTAAGATTATGGTTTGATTCTTATTTTGTATTGTTGGTTAACAACAGTTAAACATATCAAATATCAAATCAAATCAAATTTTATTTGTATAGCGCCAAATCACAACAAAAGTCATCTCAGGACACTTTAAAAAGTAAGGTCTAGACCTTACTGTTATCAGTGTTATTACATAGGGAAAACCCAACAAATCCCCCTTGTGTAATGGTGGCATATAGAAGCATAGGGAGAGGAGAGCAGAGCAGAGCAAGAGGGGAGGGGAAAGAAACTCAGAGCATCATGGGGCCCCCCAGCAGCCTAGGCCTATAGCAGCATAACTAAGGGAGGGCTCAGGGTAAC